AGTACAAATCAAAAGTTTTAAGTTGCCCATCAAAATATATTATTCGGACATCATATTCCATTTATGAGGTCAGATTAGTTTCTATGCGTTTTAATATAAATTTTAGGGATAGTATTAGTAACTGTTGTATAAAACCTGAAATTCAGTAGTTTTTTTATTCGTCAATAGTAGATTTCAATACAATCTACTATTGACAATCAACAATAATAGAATATTATGATATGTAGATTTGATACAGAATTTTGATTCCAATGAAATAATAGCACACGGATTTTTTCCAAAACATATACACAATATATAAGTTTTATATAGTGTTATCGAAGTTAAAACAATATATAAGTATTAAAGTAACCTATATAGTGTTATTGAAGTTAAAACTTAACTTCAGAGATTATTGTTGAAAAATATATTTTTACAGTAATCTGACTTTACCTATGAGCTATTATTATATATATTGTTTTACATTTTACTATTAGGTTCTTCGGAAAGTAATTTCGTTTAATATTTAACTCTGAATTCAACATATAATCATAAAACTATTATGTATATTATATATATTATATTTATTATAACTACTTGATTAAATATAAGTATATTATCATATTGATTATAAGTACATGATTTATATGTCAAAGTTTTTGTTGATATAATAATTTATTTCTTTAATCAAGATGACTATCATATCAAACATTATTATATTTATATATATATAAATGCCATAATAATAATAATATTTCTTTCTTTTAAAACAGTTGGTCGTATGGCATATTACTCTATGAAATTGTGACATTGGGTGGCTCACCGTATCCTGCAATACCAACAAATCGCTTGGTACAATATCTGAAAAGTGGACACCGCATGGACAAGCCTATTCACTGCGAGCAACAACTGTAAGTTTCTTTTATTTATTATATATATTTTTTTTATTATTATGTTATTATTATTATGACTTGTTCTATAAATTACAATTACAATTTAAGAACTTAGTCTATTCACATAATATATACCATAAGGAAATATTAAATTCAACAAATTTATTTAATATTAAAAATATATATAAACTTTATAATAACTTAAGAGTTAAGAACATAGAGTTAATAACCAAAACTTAAGATTAGGAATTTAGTAATATACTTAAGTAGTGTACGCACAGGAGCTTGAGGTTTCTAATAACTAATTCAAAGATCTTATGAAAAATTTAATTAATAAAAATAAATTATATCTACAGCAGTTGCGCCCAACCTACTGTGATATTTTTGTTTTAAGTAGTGATCGCAAAGTTCAATATGATTTTTATGCATCTCTGGTATAATGCATAATGAATTGTATAAGTGCATAGGTCCATTTTATAAGCCATAAAATAGGTATATAATTATTGTACTTATTTTCTAATAAGTGAGGACAAACTACAAGCTATGTATCCAAATTTGTTAAATTTGATCCACTGATCACTTTTTACCCAACTACGTGGACCACTGATGTATATCAGTGTGAACCACTGATATAGTATGAAATGCTTTGAAAATGCTGATCGATTAAATTAAATGTATAATTAATATTAAGAATATTCATATAAAGAGTATTTTTATTTATAGTTAACTATACGATTTAAAATTTTTGCTAGATGTACAAATTTGAGTTGAAACGGTTAAGTTATGAAGCCAAAAGAATAAAAAGCAGCAAAGCAAATGCAAAAGTCATGAACAAAAAAAAAAGAAGAATTACATTTTCAACAACAAAATTTACAGCACAAACAATGTTGTCTTATGCACTAAAGAATTTTGTTTATATAAAAAAAATTTAATTAACTGGATAATGCTACTTAATAAACTATTAGTTGCAAAAGTATTATTAAAAATTTAAATTTTGTAAGATAATGATTGATTTGTAACATAACTATTTATTGTGTCCGAAAGAATATATCTCTGAAATGAAATCAGAGATATTTAGAACATTTTTAATATATGATTAAATTATTTTAGTATAATATGTTGATATGGTACACATATTTATCTTTAGTTTAATTCTCTCCTAATTTAAAAATATTAAATAATGATTATTGTTATTTATTAATATATATTTAATTTGAAAAAATATTTAACTATATTATTTTTTTATTATCTCTTTTAAGATATGATCTTATGCTGACCTGTTGGAATGCAAATCCTGCTGATAGACCCACTTTTACGGAAATACTTCAAAAACTGGATAAGTTTCTGGTTAAGGAACTAACTGATAAGACCGAATATACTACAAATGTAACAACATTGAATTTGTATGTTTAACCTTACAATTAATAATTAATATTTAGTATAATTATATATTTTGACTATTTTCATTTTCAATTGAGCTTATGTGAAACTAAAAATTATACTACATATTTGTTATATTTTTCATAAAGTAAAAACTTTTAGAAATATAATTTAATTTAAAAATTTTATTTCTAAATTTGTTTGATTTATGAGGTAAGAAAAGAATTATTACAGTCTTGAATATTAGTTAATTAATTGAATTAAAATTGCTTACAGAATAAAGAGTTGAGACAAAAATTCTTTTAAAACGAGTTTGTACAATTTTTTATTTTTGTGTTAATTTTTCCAATGAACAAAATAAAATTATTTTTTTAAATTAATTAAATTTTTACAACAATTTTATCTACTCACTAATTTCAAATTATGTAGTCTTATCGAATAAATTTATAACATAAATTTTTTACAGAACTAAATATGTAGTAAATAAATTAAAAATAATATATAATATATTATTATATATATATTATATATTATAATAATTATGTTATATATATATTAGATAAAAATTTTAAAATATTTTATATTTTATATATATATATATATTTCATGACTAAATCTAACTTTTTTTTATATTTTTAGAATAGATAAGGTAAAGCCATGTTTGGACGATTCCTATTTAAAACCTTTGGTGTGAATTAATCAGGAAACTGTTACTTAATAATAACATTGAAGACTGAAAAACATTTTGTTATTAAAAATACGCAAAATATAATAAATATTATAATTTAATTTTAATAAATATAATATTATATAATAATATATTATAATAATATAATATTATATAATAATATAATATTATATTAATAATATTAATAATAATATAATATTATAATTATAATATAATATTATAATAATGTAATATATAATTTAATGAAATATAATCTTTTATGTAAAAGAAATAAATTTGTGTATTAATTAAGTTATATATTATATTAATCTAAAGTATTTTATCAAATGTGACTCAATCAAAAAATATAAAATAAAATATATATATTATAAAAATATAATAATAATCCAATGAACTTTATTTCATAATTTAAAATTAGATTTTAAGTTTTTATGTTAGTGATTAATTATTTTATTATATAGAGCTATAAAAAGTCTGAACTAATATTTCGGCGTGAATATTTTTAAAACAAAAATAAATTCATAAATAAAAACCAATACAATAATTTTAATTAATCTTAAGAATTCTGTAAAACTGTATTTAATATAATATATATATTACATGTGTCTGTAATTATATTTGTATAAAAAAAAAATAAAAAAGGTTTTCATGTTAAGTGGTTAATTTAAGTACAATGTATTGTAATTAAATAAATAAATAAATTTAAAATAATTAAATAAATTTCTCATTATTTTATATTTTGTTGTATATATAATAACGTATATATGAGGAAGCGAAATGTTGGTATCATTATAATGTTGGTATCTGTGAGGTTTTAGAAAATTCAACAATATTTAGGGAGTTTTGCTTTCAATGATGAAGGAAGCGGCAAACAAATCTATATCTACTTCTTCAATTGATTTGATACTTATCTTCGCTGTATCCTATCCCCAAAACTAGAGTCTCAAAAATGCTGAAACTGAAAACTTTTAATGGTATAAGAAAATTGTGTATGATACGTGTAGATATTAATTATCTTATATTTGTTGTACTTTTTAATTTTAATTTAAAAAAGTAAATAAATAAATGCAATAGCGATTAATAAATAAAATAAATAAATAAAAATAAATTAATACAAAAGCGATTAATACAACGTAATAAGTCGACTTATAATGTAATGAAAGACATTTGAGTAAACTCAAATACCCAACCAGATAAAATTGGGTTATGTGACGATAATTTCTCTAGATTCTATCCAGAGAAACAGTTAATAAAAGACAAATATCCTGCACTGGTTCTGTTTGCAACTAGACACAGAAATATACTTTTAGTGTTTTAATTTTTATATCACAAACGCATAGGTAAAATTGGATTGATTTAGATCGAAGGCTATACAAAAAAACACCAAAAGATCACTTTTCCTCAAACAGGTGCCAAGCTTTTAAAGATTCAATTCGCGTGTTCCATCTTTCTAATAATTTTTTTCCTTCAACCCTCATATTAATTAATTTGGAAATTAGACGTTTATAGTTCAAGTCTTCTTGCTATTATATGTTGTCCACCTAGAATAGATTTAAATATAATAGTCTTTTATTAATTTATGATACGGTGGTTTTATACCATTTACAAATATCATGTTATTAGCGTTATATGTATTATTCTGTAAAAAATATATAACCCTTAATTTAATATTAGTTTTATATATAATAAGTAACTTAGTTTGGAATTTTAAATTTGTCATTACTACTGTCCGAATATTCTAGTATTCTTTTAGTAGGAAGATATATATTTTCTTCTAAGTTAGAATATGCTGGCAGGCTTAAAAGGCCACGCGTAGACCATTAAGAGCCATTGCGATATCAGATCAGAGTCTTATTTCTAGCGATAGTATATATCAGGATGCGTGTGTTATTAGTTAATTGTATTAGGAGTTCAACAGCAATCTCAGGCATGTGCTCCAGTGCTGCAAAACTGATAGCCTCAAAATATTTTTGTTGAGTTCGCGAGAGAGAGAGAGGAATCCAGAATTTCCTTTGGATCGGGCTCGTTGCATTTCCTACAAGCATCGTTGCGAGTTAAGTTTAGTTTGTGAGCGTGTGATGCGACCAGTGATCTGACAATATACCAATTAATGTTCTATAGTTCCTTCGGCTAAATGATATAACATCTTCTGTGTACTTTTCTTTGTATATATGTTCATACATGATCCTAGTTATACTACAGGTGATTAGATTTTGCCACCTTTCCTGTGCTCTTCTTGTCATGTGCTCGTTCACGAGTTTATGTATTTATTTCAGCAATCTGAGTACTTCGCTTGTTTTGTGCCAGTTTTAGCAATAGCATCAACTGTCTCATTTTCCTCTTTCCCTTTATGACCAGGAATTCAGTATATATAAAGTCTGCGGTTGCAGGCTAGTCTGGCTATAGCTTCATTGCATTCTAGAACATATATAAATTGAAATTTTTAAATCGAGTATTAATTAAAAGATATTAATTTAATTTTGAAATTAATATATTTTATTAATATAATTTTAACACATTTTTGTACTGTACAAGAATTTCTGAGCCTATTACAAAAATTATATCTTCATGAGCGTCTAGTCTACCAAGAAATAATAAAATAAATTTTAAAAATAAAGAACCTTTCATTTGTGATAACAATAAAGAAATATTATACAATAATATTATATATATTGAAGCACAAATATTATTTACATTTCATATAATTAACTTTTGATTCTATGATTCTATGATTAAAACAATTAGAAAAATTTAAATTTTAGTTTAACTATTTGAAAAAAAAATTATATAAAAATTGTAACTAAACCGAAAACCGTAGAAAACGATGTTTTTAACGTCGGGTGAACCGGAACTAAACCGATGTATTTTCTTTTTGTGTAATCAAAAAATATCTGGTTCAAAACCCAGTTTAAATTTAACCTTACAGTTAAAGAAAAAAATATATGTATATATAACTAAATAATTCATTTGGCAATATTAATAAAATCTTGTTTCTAATAAAGGATATACGTAAAAAATTAAATTTTATATAACAATAAACATAAAACAATTAATTAATTCCAAACACATAATAGAAATAAACTAAATAATTAGTGACTAAATACAGTACGCTCATCTTTTAGTTGTAGTTTCAAGATCAATAGTATTCATTTAAATTTAAAAAAAATTGTTATCAACTAAATCGTTTTATCTACGGTCGTAATTAAGTCCAAGGATATTTCTTGCCTTTAAGTAAAAAAAAAAAATTAGTTTAAATATAATAATATAATATATAATATTTTCGAATAAATTATTTTCATACCGTTATAAAAGCAGAGTTAAAGGAACGTTGAAAGTTATTTGTCATATCTCCCGTTTGTGATAGCATCATTTGTAGTTGCACTGCTTCATCCATGCGATTTTTTAAAAATTCCCAAGTGTTCTCATGTTGCGGCGAGGTATCCTGTAGCATATATAATTCTGTCATTTTCATAATAGTGGCAAGACCTATACGACGTGTATACCAATCAAACTGAAAGTATAATTTCAAATAAATATATTTACAATAATTGATATTGATAAAAAGCGTTTACATCTACTGAGCGATCTCCAGAATAATAGCATATATCATCCACAAGTGTTAGAACTTGCGCTAATGCGGTCGAAGCATTTTGTGGTAAAGCTATCAATGCCAGCGCTTGTGGCCATTGTGCTTTATAGACTATAATCATTTCCATACGTGTGCGTACAGCGCGTACTAAAAATTCTAAAGGATTCTTAACTTCTTTCGTCCCATTTTCTGTTTCCTCTGCCATTCTCTGCGCAAGCTCATCATTACATATACCATTGTAATATGAAACTAAGGCAAAACCACCTTCTGGAAACATACCATGTATCACACCTGGAAAGCCTGAATCTTCAGCACCCTTTACAATTGCATTCCGGCTCCAACCTAATGCTGGCACATGTACAAGTGATGCCTCAAGTATTTTTGTGCGTATAGCATCCACTTTAGCTTTTTTCGCTTCCTCATCCGGATTACTGTCTTTCTTTGTATACTCTTCTTCGAGTTTTTCTTGCTGTTTTATGAACTCTCGTTCACGCTGCTCCTCTCGTTCCCGAAAATCATTGATAGTTTTTTCATTAGTAGTCGTGTAAGTCCTGCTCCTGTTGTTTTGGGTCGCATGCCTACTGCATCCAGTAAATGTGTTATTGTTTTTGTTGTTGTTGTTGTGCAGAAATTGTGTTGCATATGAACTTGAAGCAAGCAGAAAATTGTGCGCACCTGTAATGATATTTAAGATACAGCTTAGTTAATTAACATTTAATTTGTTTATTAATGTATTTGCAAAGTAAATAAATTTCGAACTTATACGTAATAATCGGATACAGTCATATAAGCCAAGCTCAAATGTCTCACTTTGAGGTGGGATTTTTTTTTTTTTTTGTATCTCATAGATTCGCACTTTAATTGATGAATCGATAATTAGCATGCTTAGCGCTTATGGTTAAATTGGTCAGAATGTGTTTAAGACTGAATGCATTTTTTTGTTATTGTTTGGAGTCGACCTCTTATTTTTGTGGAAGTAAAACTTTTTTCAAATATTTTCAAGGTTTATTATTATTTAACTAAAAAATAAAGCGTTAAAGCGATGTTAGATTCGGTTTTTCTATTTTAATTTCAATATTAAAAATTTATATTGTATTTCATACAATAAAATAGGTTAAATTTTACCTCTCCTCCATACTTAGGTAAGAATATATTGTTTTATAATGAATGAAATAATTTAAAGCACGGCAAGTGCTTTGGTTAATGTCATTAATTAAATAAAAAAAGTGACAAAAAAACTAGAACTAGAGCACTAAAGTTTGTGCATAAACATGACTAGTCCTCGCTTCTAAGCCTGGCACTTACAGTCCAAATAAATTATATATGAACTATAAACTAATTAAGAAATTCGATTATTTCCTAATAATAATAGTTACACCTAATGTAAAGGCTTCTGACGTACATAAGAATATGTTCGTAGTGAGTTACTTTATATAATTTCATATTCAAAAACCATATGAGAATTATAATTTTTTT